TATTATTATTATCAATATTATTATTATTATTATTATTATTATTTAAGTTATATAAGTGTAAAAAAACATTTTTAATTTTTTTATACTTTTATTAAATTTAAAATTTTTACATTTTACATTAAAACAGACTATTATCTTGATCTCCATAATTTATTCTCAAAATCAGATCTTTTTATATATAGTTTATGTAAAAAGTAAAAAAATTTCCATTGAAAAAAAAACTAATTTGGGTTAATAATTAGAACTTCGAAATTTATAAAATTAAGCCAATTCCCAGTATCTCACATTTTCATAACATTTTTCAGATATTAATTATTCTTGGGAAATTTAATCTAAATAGTTTTTTTTAAATATGAAAGCTTTTCATAGATGAACATTTCCAAGAAACTTTTTAACCCCCGAAAGCTTAATTGCACGTGAGTGGGTCGGGGTTAGGTTAAAAACCTTGCCAGGTTCTAACATTTCATAACTGTTTTCTGTAAAAGTTTGTTTTTTTAACTAGACAAATGTTTACGCTAAGATGGATTTGTGTGGCCCCGGCTCACCCTAAACTAAGCTTTCGGTTCGTACTGTAAGTGAACATTCTGACCGAATAAATAGTTGGTTTTAGTGGAGAGTTCGCTTTAAAAGTCATAAAAACTTTAAAATTTTCAAAAAACAAACTGAATTAGAATTGGGAGGAAGGATTTTGAAGAACTCTGAACATGAAATCAATTATTAGATTATTTCCAGATAAAATCAATTAATCAAAATATTTTGACTGATATATTGAAAACTTGAAATTTAAAATAGAATTGGATTCTTCAGATCAGACAATTCAAAGATAAATGAGCCGTTTTATTTTTATTTGTTTTTTAATCATTATTTTGCACCCCTTCTTGCAGTACATTGTGAAGAAGTTTAGCTATCAAATGGACATATTCAGAATCATTATATATATATATATATAGGTGGGTTCCCTTAAGCTAGTTAATAATATTCTTAAAGAGATGATCAACGTAATTTTAACATTATGTAATTTGAGAATAACAGTTTTGCACTCAATACATTCATATTGAAGTTCAATTTAAAGTCAGGACGCACTTCGAAGAAGAAAAAGATTTCTTTTGATATGAAAACTATCAATTCTGAAATATTAGAAATTTCAAAGGTTTACACCATTAGGATACTAAGATAAAGAAAATTAAATTTGTTACGGTGGACCGCGATGAAAAGTTTTATAAATTAATTCCTTGAAGTCCTTTAATTTATTCACTACAGCTTGCTTAAGAACATTCGGTGCCTGATAATTATCGTTTAAAGGGAAGGGTTACGAAATAAAAACGGGGTTACGAACAATTTAGAAAAATTTTGAAGTGGTTATCATGCGTACCTTTTACCTCTGGAGCATTAATAGTTCCTCCTGATGCAAGCATGGTTCTGCTGAGCAAGCATACAATAATTAATCTAACAAGAGTTCAACATATTTTGCATAATTTTGCAAAAACAACAAAGTATTTCAATGCAGATAAAAAACAAATAAATAATTTTAATGGGGGCGGCACAACGTCTGCTAGGGGGTGCACACAAATGTGCGACACTTAAAAGTCAGCCCAGTCTTGAAAATTGAAACTAAAATTAGCAGTCTGGATCTATGTGTGAGGATCCTAATCTCCTCTTGAAAATTGCTGCTCATCCCTTTAAGATTCCCTGGACAGTAATAAAATGATCTGGTTACAGTAACGAACCATTCCCCTGTTTATACTCAATCAAAAATTAATCGATTCCCATGGATTGAGATTCGGTGTAAATGAAAAGAATAAAATTGTCCGAATAATTTGCAAATGCAATAGTTAGAAACCTTTTTAGCAAAGATATTGAGTCTTTGCAACCTGATGGCGTAAACCTTTGATATTTTAAAGATGCAAAGATAAACTGCTTAGAAAATCTTGAAATAGACATTGATAATTTAATGTGGATGGTTTTATATTTTATAAGTTACTATTCGCGCTTGGTATCAAATCATGATTTTAGCTGAAGTCCCCGGCGTTGCCCGTGAAATTTCAAAAATTCTTCAAAAATGTTATCCTTTGTCACCCTTGGTTTCTCTCAAAAAGATGTCCGCCAATTTTGGCCAGCTACAGTGAATATATATGCAAAATATATAGATANGGGGGGTACAGTGACCATTAAGATTATATTTTTACCTTTTTTATTGCCTGGATACTTTTCCGGATTAAAGTCTGAAATAAAATAACCTTCTTCTTTTCAACCTCAGATCTGTTCATGAAATACGATCAAATTAATCAAGTTATTTCTCACAATTTTTTATTTATCTATTTATTTATTTTCGTTTGTGGGTTTTCTGCAAAAGCGACTTGCGCATTTCATGATTCAGAAACAATGGAGAAATCATCAGAATTGTGTTTGGTCATCCATGTAATTAAGAACAATATTTTCTAAACATGTTTGGTTATCTATGTAATTAAGAACAATATTTTCTAAACATGTTTGGTCATCTATGTAATTAAGAACAATATATTCTAAGCATGTTTGGTTATCTATGTAATTAAGAACAATATATTCTAAACATCGTTGGTCATCTCTGTAATTAAGAACAATATTTTCTAAACATGTTTGGTCATTTATGTAATTAAGAACAATTAAATTCTGATATTTTGTAGAGTGGCATGTCCGATTCGTAAGAGAACCCTTCAATCCTTTGATTGATCAAGAATGCTTATTTCTCGCTTGTAATTGTTTACTTTCCAGAAGTCACAGAAATTTCATATTTTCGTAAGTTGTTGGACAGAGTTTTATTCGCTTTTTGATGAAAGATATATGTGAAAGTCAGCTGATATCTTGGAGTTCTCTCTGTCGTCTAAGACCAGTGAAAGGTTTAAAGAGGACCGTTTTAAATCAGGCATTCTCCTCTTTGTATGGAGGGTCAATTGAAATTACGATTTAAGTTGAGAACATAGATATAATTTTTTGTATATTTTTTAAGAAGGTAACGATAATGAACGATTAGGAACAGTTAGGAACAGTTAGGAACAGTTAGGAACAGTTAGGAACAGTTAGGAACAATGAGGAACAATTAGGGACATTAAGGAAAATTCGGGACAATAAGGAACAATTAGGAACAAATGGAAACAAATTAAAGAAACATTTAAAGACAATTAAGAACAATTGGGAACAATAAGGGACAGTTAGAAACAATTAGGGACGATAAGGAATAATTAGGAACATTTAGGAACAATTAAGAATGATTGGGAACAATTAGGAACAGTGAGAAACAATTAGGAACAATTAGGAACATTTAGGGACAATTAAGAACGATTGGGAACAATTAGGAACTGTTAAAAACAATTAGGAACATTTAGGGACAATTTAGAATGGTGGTGGTGTATACTGTAAACAGTAAACACTGTACTTGTACAGTTTCCAAAGTACAGCGTGAAGTGTACAGTTTACATCAGACTATTTACACGGTTCTTAATACTTTAGACAGTACATCAAGTACATTTTGGAGTTTTCTGTGTACTATTTCCGGTAATCAGAGTACAGAGTACTCCGAACTTGTGTGTTAAACTAATGATTGATTAGTTCCACTGTGGTTGAAAATTTACTCTCCATTTCCAATCTCTGAACGCATCCACCTATATACATAGCAATTACAGGGTGTCTCAAAATAATGATTACACTCTACCAAGAGTGCACATTTTATGCATTACAGAGGAACCTAGACAGAATTATGCAGGATTTTGGGGGTTCTCTAGGGGGATTCTAAAATACAAATATAATGATCGAATATACAATAAATGTGTAGGACCCTATAGAAAACAAATTAGACAAGGAAAATGTTTTCACAAGGTGTCCTAAAAAAATATATATATTTAGCAGGATATTTTTAAAAGTAAAATAAACCAATAAGGTTGTATCAAATTATGAATATTGAATAAACCCTGAATTCCTAATCCGATCCTTTACCATGTATTTGCAAAGAAAATTTCTTTAGATTAAAAAGAATTTGTTTGATATTTTATCTTCATTTATCCTAATACTGACATATAAACATATTCATAAAGAGAAGAAATCTCAAAGGGAACTAATAAAAGAGGGATCAAATCAAATAGGGGGGGGGGGGGTAAATTTATTTTCTTCAAAGTTTTTCTTTGAAAATTTTATGTTTGAAGATTAATCTTTCAAACAAATGTAGAATTATAGAAAAGTTTGATATGTTTAAAATACAGAGTTACCCAAAATTTTATGTTTGAAGATTAATCTTTCAAACAAATGTAGAATTATAGAAAAGTTTGGATTTTTTTCTTCTTTAATAATACTGCACCATCACCCTAATTTATCAGGTTGGTCTTACCGGTCACTCCCTTTAATCTACTTCCTGTTTAACTCTGATTTTTTCATCTTTATTTCTTTGCAACCCGACGTCGTAGAACTTTGTAAAATGAAAGGTGGCAAAAATAAAGTGATTGTTAAATTTGAGTTTTAAAAAAAGAATAAATGTCGACATTTTTTACTGGGCAAAATTTAACATCTTTGACCTTACCATTTTAGTTGCAACAAAATTGGGCCTGATCGGTTCAGCCGTTTTCAAATTTTGATATTAGAAAATCGAATATATAATTGGGGTTAATAAAAAAATTTGCCAATTTGTTTCAGCCGTTTGGCCAGAAATAGCTAACATGTATAATTGAGCAATTAAAGAGCTTTATTATATAGAGATAAACGGAAGATATCACTCCCGGCCAGTTATTTATCCTAGGAAATAAATTGTAAAGGATTAAAAAAAGTGGAATTAGTGTGAAACTAACAAGTAGTCGGTGACGTTTCTATTATCTATTATAGGCTAAAATCTATTTTTTTGTGTTTCATCATATTAGTCGGCAGGAAGCGTATGAAAATATATTTGTAAATTTTGTTTTTTTTCTACATATATTTCTCACACCTTTAAATTAGCAGGTCAGGTCCAGACTCCAGATCCAGGTTAGCAAATTGGCAGATTTTTTCAGAAATATGTAGATATTCTTCAAAATTGGCAGTTCTTCTGTCAAATTTGTTTTCTTATTTAAAACCGGTTGAAATTGTTTCTTAGAGAAACACTGATGTGTATGTGTTGTATACAATTCTGGTTTTGATATGGATTCAGTCCAGGTTCAATTCTAATATTGATTCAGTTCTGATTCTAATATTGATGGATTTTAGGTGAAACATTGATTCAACTTAGGTTCGATTCTAATATTGATTCAGCTATTGTGAAATATTGATTCAGTTCTGATTCTAACATTGATGGAGTTTAGGTGAAATATTGATTCAATTCTGATTCTAATATTGATGGAGTTTAGATGAAATATTGATTCAATTCTGATTCTAATATTGATGGAGTTTAGGTAAAATATTGATTCAATTCTGATTCTAATATTGATGGAGTTTAGGTGAAATATTGATGCATTTATGTTCAATAAATTAGACATTTCGTATCCTATAACTGAGAAAAGATATAAAAAAACTTGCAGTGTAAATATAATCATTTGAGGTGCGGTGGAAAGGTTTGAGTAAAGAATTATGAAAATAATCTGGTCTAATGAAACCAGGAGTAAGTTAGCAAGATACAAGAAGGGGTGGAGAGAACTACATCAGGGACGGATACAAGAAGGGGTGGAGAGAACTATATCAGGGACAGATACAAGAAGGGGTGGAGAGAACTATATCAGGGACAGATAAAAAAGGGTGGAGAAAACTATATCAGGGACAGATACAAGAAGGTGGGGGGCAATCAAAGACGTATATTAGGAAGGAGCGGAGGAAGGAAGCTATATGAATATAAACCTGTAATAATTGTTTCATTTGTTGGAAGTTCCAGAAACGCCATACATTCACCTGCAGTAGTGTTCCTAAACATTTTTGACATATGTTTCTATACAAAATATAATGGGACTGATTACTGAACACATACTCTAATTTTCTAACCCTTTTATTATTGAGATATACATGTATAAAATAAAACACGTTTAAACCTAAATAAACCCGACAATAGCTTCCTCATTTTTGATCAGATATAGGTTTTAAGGGTACCGTTATGAATCGGGCATTGCCATCATTGAATGGAGGGTTTACTTGAAATCACGCTAACAGCTAATAGAGTTTCTTTAAACAAATATATCTCAATCTTAACCAAGATGCCTCACTCGTAGTCGGCCATTGTCAAATTTAAACTAGTATTTGGTAAATTGTAAAAGTTTTTAAAAGAAATGACAAGTTTTATATTCTGTGTGTATTTCTGAACCTACGCCCATCCGTCCTACTGCCCATCCGACCTACTAGCACGTAGTTTTACAGCTTAAAGATAGAATTCTGGTCGCAGCGCTTGGCCCCCTAGCCCGTCCTATCCGCAGAGCTCGGCCCAGAAATTCTCTTAACCTAAGCTAACCCTCCAATAATACAAAAATAAACAGCTGTCGTAGGTCGGATGTTGCAGTAGTTCGGATGGGCAATAGGACGGATGGGCAGTAGAGCGGATCAACATTACCTAAATATTTTGCTTGGAATAGGTCTTGTAATCCAATAAAACTTGAAAGAGATATATTCCAATGTTCAAAGTCCAACACTTACTGTTAAGTAGGACATTTTTTTTATTTATTTGGGCCACCAAAATCATGACTAACAATGCATGTATGGAGAGTGTTAAATTTATTTTACTATTTTGCGGGTAAATTTCTTACGTTTTTTTGTCTGTTCTTTTTATCAAATTTAAACTTTTATCTTGGAAAAGGTTGTGTAGAGATAAAGTTGTCTAATCTAATTTTATTCGTCTATATAAAGGATTCTTTGTATTCGATGTATTACCCAAAGTATAAAACAGTCTGCGCAGATCATTACTTGAAAAATGAAAACTTATTTAATCACAACGAACATAAAAACTTACTTTTATCCCCCTAGAATAAAGCGAAAAACATTATTAACTTTTTTCATACTTATTCATTAATTTCAGGATGGAAGGACCTAATTAATGTTTTAATACGAAATCCCGGAATGAATTAATGATATATTTAATCTGATTTCACAAAAACCAATTAATCCAGGAAAAAAAGATTTTAAATCGAGATAGATTAAAGGATAAGATAAAACTCCAACTACGAAAAACAAACAATTTAACCAGGGTTTTTTTTAAACAAAGTGCTAGCAAATAGACTAATCAGTTTTCAATTTAAAAACATATATCTAACCTTCTCCTTGTAGGTTCTGTGAGAGATATTCTGGTTTTAATCCTTCTCAGCATTCGTTTCAGAGCTTCCTGGACTTCAGTGTTGAAGAAACAGTACAGGAAGGAGATCAGGATTCCCTGAATCATTTATTTTAAAATTTTTTATCCAGAAATTTCAGGTTTTTTCTTTTTAAAGAGATCATCAACGTGAATTCAAGGAGCATGAAAGAGGTACATGCCTGATGCACAACTGTACCCTTTGGCCGTGTATTGGATTGACATTTCAGAATAAATCCAAAAGTAATTTACAGAAAACCGCAAAGCTGAAAACCTGAAGGTTTGAGATTAAAAATCAAGGATCAATTCATTAATTTTGTTCGGACAAAGATTTAAAGATTTAAAGCTACCAATGAGAATCAAATACATAACTTTTAAATAGAAATTCAGTTAAAATAATGGTAACAGTCCTTGAGCCATGTTATATCTCATTGTCAGCTGTATAATGTAAACCTGGACTTCTAAAACCTGAGTGTTAAATATCTACCTCATTGAAAGTACTAAAATTATAAATAAGATTTTAAAAGATAGTGGACTATAGGCATACCATTACGCCACAAAATAAGATTTCCAGTCAAGAATAAGTTCCCAAACCAGTGAGAAAGTTTCATACTTTTTTAACAAACAAAAAACTCTTCCGATTCTAGGAACTAGAATGAAATGGTTTAAAAAGTTTGTTTTTACAAAAAAAAACATTATTTATTATTGATGACGCTTTCTTCCAAATCTATTTTCATAAATATTTTTATATGAAAAATACAATATTGTAAATAGAAAAAAGGAAAAGCTAAATAATTAAAATTTTCTACGACCCACTCAACTTAGAATTTCAAAACAAAATTAAGAACATTCCCGTGGATCTCCCGAGTTTCCCAATCAAAATTTAAGAGAAATCGGTTCAAGGGTGAATGAGTACGTTATGATCGTACAAAAAAAAAACAGACAGACTAACAGAGATTACAACTTTTTAAAAATAGCAAGTAAATGAAAACGAAAGAATTTCACTGTTTTCTGGTTCTCTCTGTACACATTGTAAACAGAAATAAAATTCATAAATAAATGGCCTATGATATACTGTTGTCAGTATTTTCTAGACATCTATATAATATAAATATATCTATGGTATTATTATATGTAGATTATATTCTTCCATTGTTTGGTGTGAATAGATATAGCATCACATTAATTCAATAATATTTATCACAAACAAGAGAACTTTCAGGAACATAATAAACTCAATAAGATAAAACCGACCGAAGTATAAAGACAAGGTTTGTGTAATCCAAGGATAGAATGACAGAAAAGTATACTTAGTATAAAGACAAGGTTTGAGTAATCTAAGGATAGAATGACAGAAAAGTATACTTAGTATAAAGACAAGGTTTGTGTAATCTAAGGATAGAATGACAGAAAAGTATACTTAGTATAAAGACAAGGTTTGTGTAATATAAGGATAAAATGACAGAAAAGTATACTTAGTATAAAGACAAGGTTTGCGTAATCTAAGAATAGAATGATATAAAAGTATACATAGTATAAAGACAAGGTGTGCGTAATCTAAGGATTGAAGGACAGAAAAGTATACTTAGTATAAAGACAAGGTTTGTGTAATCTAAGAATAGAATGTTTTAAGAGTATACTAAGTATAAAGACAAGGTTTGTGTAATCGAAGGATAGAATGATATAAAAGTATACTAAGTATAAAGACAAGGTTTGTGTAATCGAAGGATAGAATACTAGAAAATTTTTTTATATTGGGTTTGACCTTAGTACCGAAGATACTACTATACTACTGTGGTATGTAAGTTCTGCCAGACATTTTATCCTCGGCTTATATTCTTCTTGGTTTCAATATCATATTCCAGGGATTCTAGATTATGGATTAGAAATCCAGGGATTAAATCAGGTTTAAACAAGATTTCCCGCTAAATAGTTCAACTTGGTTGTAGCTAGTTACTAGGAAACTGCTCTTAAATGATTTTAATGTGACTTTCTAAATGCAATATATAAAGCATTTATACAATTAGAACAATGTTTTTCGCAATTTAGAATAATATTTATGAAATCAGACAAATGAGTAAAGTATAATTTTAAGCAAAAGTAAAATAAGTTAGAAAGTTCGATATATTCTACTTACAAGTCGATGTTTACGTGTTATCTCTATATAAAGCATTCTACCCCGAGGGATTTAATTTACTCATTAGATGCTCACTTTATTGTTCTCTTATCGACCAAACTATTGCCTAGTAGTTTATTGTACAATTAAAATATACTTACATACATTAAACCAAGTAAAATACACCTACCACCACCATATTATTGTTAATAGAGTAAGCGGAAAATTGCATATGGCTCGCACCTTCTGCTAGAGTGATATTAACTCCAAAAAAGTATAACACCGCCATTTTGTTGTACAGTCACCATACTGCAGGGGTACTTTTATATTTTTATAATCTTTGGGGTTATAATACCTTTCAGAAAAAGTATGTCTTAATCTTCAATCAAATTTTTATTTTCTTTCACCTTAAACACCTTAATTTTCACTTAACAATTTAAATAAAATAAGAACGAATTATCTAAGGATCAGCAACTGTATTGTAGTGCCTTGTGATGTACTGCCCAGAAGATGTGAAAATTTACAAGAAATGTACACTTTAAACTACTGCTCACTGTTCAGGCTCAAAGGAACTTCCAACATTCACACAAGAGGTCTTGTTTTAACCTGTGTAGTTTCCTCTCTGTGAGCCAAGAATTCCGAACCTTGTTTACAATATCTGTCATTGTTTACAGTACACCTACTTTATACAACTCATACAACCCTTATCCTCATTCTGAGCGAGGTAAGGAACACCACACCATTCTTTCGTTCGCAACACAAGTGACGTCACAAATCAACATTATTTCGTCCGACCACACCTTTTTTTCGTCAGGTATTGTTAACATTCTTTTAAAGTACTTTTAATTATTATATTAGAATATTGAGCCACGCCATGTTGTTTATCATGATTTAAAATATTTTATCCTGTTTTTTTTCTATAGAAAAACATCTTTTGAATGTACACTATAGGCATAAAACAATCCATGGGATTTTTATTTCCTAATCCCTCAAGCATATCAAATAACTATGTTCCCTACTAAAAAGAAATTAAGTTTTAGTTGTACATTCTAAAAAATCTCACTATTAACTAAAAGTTCAGGTTAGAGAAGTAATATAAGAAAACGACATAATATTGTGTGGTCTGAATGAAACAGCTTGTTAACAAGAAAAATGAAAATAAAAAGTCGTCTTCATTATATTGATATGATCGCTTACTACTGTATTATGTAATATATCTATTTTTTAAAACTATGTTCTTATTTTAGGCGGATAAGAATAACGAATAAACCTTTCCCTAAATGTGGCTCGACTTACACAATTCTCCAAAATAATGATATTCTACATTACAAATTCATCATTTTTAAAAAATCACTTGTAGTGTGTTAATGTATTGCAACAGAGACAAGTAATTAACAGAATTTATTACAGTTAAAGATATTGGTACTTTTGGTACTCTTGGTACTCTGGGTACTCTTGGTACTCTTGGTACTCTTGGTACTCATAGAAATGATTTCAATGGCATTGCTGCGAATATGAAATGTAATATAGGAGGTTAAAATTGAGTCTTTAGTAATTTTTAAGTTTGTGAAAAAAATGTCACGGATTAACGCAGACGAAAAACAAATGTAAAGATAAAAAGGTACCAAAAGGTTATAAAGCACAAATGCGTTAAAGTACACCTGCAGTATGGAAACATTACAACAAAATGGCGGGTTTTTCTACTTTTTTCTACTTAATTCCACTCTATATTCGTATATTTTTTAATCTCTACGATTGCCGCAGAAGGAAAGAAAAATGTAAATAAATATCAAGTGTTCTGAATTCCAAATTTAATTATATATATAATTAACTACTTTATGTTTCTAGATTACCTGGGATGATTTAAGAACTGTGTTGACCAGCATATAGATAAATTCATGTTCTTTTCTCTTCACAGATTTAGGATTGATAAAGAAGAGAAGGTTGGTAATACCCAGGAGAGGAAACAGTATAAGTGTTGCTCGCACAGCCTTTCGGAACTAGAAGGAACAAATTTATCTTATTATTATATTCTCATATTTAGAATTCTTTATATTTATGGTTTTGACATCAAGGGGGTTTTACACATTTTTTCCTGAACATTTTTCTGTTTAACTAGGTTTATTATTATTCTAACTACCTGGAGCTGCTGTGTAGTGAGGGTTGGTTGGTTCCTCAGCTTGGTGATGATAATCCTGACGATGTTGATAAGGAAGAGAAGGTTGACACTGAGAGCAGTGATCATGGGAACTATCAGGATATAGATGATTGAGTGACTGGAATAATCATCCCAGCACTCCTTCTCACACCTCAGATACATTCCTCCAGACCAGACTCCAGTTATCAGAACTGGTAAAACTAAACACACCAGACTCTAGTAGTCAGAACTGGTAAAACTAAACTTACCAGACTCCAGTTATCAGAACTGGTAAAACTAAACATACCAGATTCCAGTCAGCAGAACTGGTAAATTTTAACAGACCAGACTCCAGTTATCAGAACTGGTAAAACTGAACATACCAGACTCTAGTAATCAGAACTGGTAAAACTAAACATACCAGACATGTGTTTTCAAAACTGGTAAAACTAAACAGACCAAACTCCAGTTATCAGAACTGGTAAAACTAGATAATTCAGACTCCAGTTATCAGTACTGGTAAAACTAAACATACCAGATTCCATGATTCTATGAGAGTTGTCAATTATTGCTTGTAGAAATTGGTTGGGCACCGTTTTTGAGTAGCTCAAGTTAAAATATTATATACCATAGAGAAAGAAAACGGAGATCTGTTGTGAACATCTGAGGGTAAGCTTTAACTCTTCGTTTCCTTTCTCTATGCTATATACTGAGTGTAGTGTAGAAAATATAAAAAATAAACCTGAATTATAACAATTGTTTATCTATTTGAATGTATTGAAATATGCAAGTATATGAGTGAATGCAAATCTCCTGAATACAGAGCTTAAATTTTAAAAAACACCTCTCTTCTCTTTTACACAGCCCCACAGGATTTTAACACTTTATAAAAACTTTACTAAAATATGAGTTATAAATTCTTGAGGTTTTACTTTTTTAATCCGACCACGTTTAAGGCCAATACAATTTATTTGGATTCACAAGTTAAGAAAAGTCTAAGCGTTTTATGGATATATGATCGACAATATAAACTCAATTTTAGGTGACCCTTCAATTGTTGAGCGGCATATCCTTTGAACCTTTTTCCGAGAAAGAATGATGCAGATATTAGGAGTGATCGATTTTGGACTTGAATGTTCTAGATCACGAAAACCTGCCAAAAGCTTTAAAAAGATAAAAAGCATTATATTGGATTATTGTTATTTAGTCTTAATTTATTTTTTTTTTAATGTTTTAAAAATTGAGTTTCGAATCTGAATTTAGCATAGAATTTCCAAGAAAATATGTTGTAACTGAAATTTTTAACAAAATAATATTTGGGTCTATCAGGTCATTTTTGAATTAAGGTTTTTTGGTTGATCGGAAAAGGTTGCATAAGGCTTATGCAGTGTGTTCACTTTGGGTGGTTAGCTGATCTCTAAGAAGATACAAAATTGATCAACCCTAGTAGATTGCCTTCCCTGATACTCTTCATTTAAAAATTGAACAATTAAAAAAATCTGAACCCAAAGTCTTTTTTTTTATCATACTGGCACTTATTTTGGAAAATAATTACTTTAAAGTAAAAATGTATTCAAAACCCCATTATAAAACTTAACTTGTCAGTTTTGTTAAAAAACGTCCAAGTACAAAAAAACCTTTAAAGCCCCCCCCCCTCTGTGTATCTAGTAAGGAATTGGATTTCTTATATAATTGGTATCAAATCAAGAGTCGAGGTTGCATTTCCTTTTCCAGGACAGGATCTAATATATAAACCGTATTGAGAAATTAATATCATTGTTTCCAAGAAAAAGAGAAACATTAATTAATAGAACATTACATTGCCAGTTGAGGCCCTAGCAAGTGAATGAGAAATTAGAGTTCGAGACTTTTCTATTGTTAATCCCTTCAAACACCCCTTAATTTATAGCTCAGTTTTACCAGGATTAAACACTTAATCTATAGCTCAGTTTTACCAGGATTAAACGCTTAATCTATAGCTCAGTTTTACCAGGATTAAACGCTTAATCTATAGCTCAGTTTTACCAGGATTAAACACTTAATCTATAGCTCAGTTTTACAAGGACTAAACGCTTAATCTATAGCTCAGTTTTACAAGGATTAGAGGCTTAATAGCTTCAAATTGAAAGGTTACCATTTAGAATTCAGGTTTTGTAGTTCTCAGATTAACTACAACACACTGGATTTTGCATTAAATTTACATCTAAAGAACGTGATCAGAGTTTTCCAAATTCATGACAGAATTGTTCAAGCATTCATCTTTCGTTTCATGTTAAAGAGACCGATTTTTATCACACACAGGACCAAAGGAATTGATTCCCTGCCACAAACTGAAGTTTTCTTATCCTATATCTTTGCAACTTCACTGTGAAACCTTTTACATTTACAAACTTAGATTATTTGATATAACCGAATTCAAATTTTAAAATATTTCAGATCTACGACATGGGGTTGCAAAGATATAGCGATTAGAAAATAAGAGTTTTTGGTAAGGACTTAAATCCTATGCTAAAAATCATCTTACCCCATCCGACCGTGTTGTATATTTTGAAGGGTGCTGTAGCATCAAATACGTTGGTGGAGAGTCGAGAGTGTAAATACATCCCTGGAGAGTTAACACAAAATACAGTGATAAACACTTCAAAATTGTACGTACGTATGATTATTTATGTACAGGGTGTCAAATTCAATTCGTTAAAATTTGTATTTTGGATTCTTATCCATATATATAACAACATATACGACGAAATTCTGAACTCTATGAGACAAACATCATACTAATCTTCCCTTAGAATTTAAGCATTATTATACTTAGGAATTGAAACAAAAGTAACATTTTCTAGCCCCTATATCTTCTTTTCAACCTGAGCTGAAAACTTTAGAATGGTGGATATCGAGATTAATGCTTGATCCTCCTTTTCTTAATATCAAGAATGACCTAATCTTGTGCTTTTTAAGATTATGTACAGAAACGGGGGGGACTCATTAAATTAAAAAAAACGGTTTTTGATTTTTCTTTCTATATCCAAGAAAGAACGGTTTAAGAAGAAAATCAAAAGTGTGTCCATTGGATACTCAGATTAAGTAATCGGGATTCTAAAGTTTTCAGCTCTGATGATGTATAACTGTGATATTTCAAACTTAGATTATTTAACCTAACAGTATTTATAGTTTGAAATATATTCAAGGTCTACGACATCGGGTTACAAAGATAGAAAATCACAGTTTGTGGCGAAATATCTAAGTCATCACTGAACTCCTATATTTTACTGGAATATCCTATATGAGAGATCCAAGGAGCAAACTCAACCCCTGATTATTTTAACTACAACTGTTCCCGGCTTAAGTACATCAAATAAAACCTTGGCGTTCTACATTTATAAATGTAAATGTTTCAGGGGACATTAGTTTCAAAACATGGTTAGGCCCAACGAAAGCAAAAATGTGCGATTTCTTTCGCAAAAATTGCGCAAAAGTTTTGCAAATGGAAACCCTAGTTTTTCGCGAAAATTTGTTCACTCTTCAAAATTATTCTATAATATTTGCATTGTTTACGAAATTACGACGTTAATTAGAGTATATTTTGCGCATTTCAAATACATCAATTATGTTAATTATTTTACATAATTGTTAAATATTTCAATTGACTTTGCAAAGTGCACAAAGAGGAGGAGTAAAGTTATATAACTAAGAAGAGGGGAAACAAGGTTGTTAACATTTCACTGTGACGTATCAAGATAGCTCTATAGTTGTATTGTAAACAAAGGACAAAAAGTAAATAATGATTATCAAGGCCCGGCCCTACAGCCCTGCCCAAAAATAATGTGTTTTTTGTTAACAAGTTTTCAAAAAAAATTAAATAGAACTGTCCTAGTGCGTCATAATAACATCTCAACAAACCCTACTCCCCCTCTAGTTCTAAAACTCCATGATTTCTCTGCATAAGGAAGACGTTCATTTTTCTAGTGCGACTTTGCGACTTTGTAACCCCTCTAATTTAAAGTCTAGACCAATAAGTTAAAGTATCCAACTTGTTTGGTTGAAGAAAATAATTTAAAAACTTTTTTCATTTCAGAAGCTATTTAATCGTCAGGAAAATAAAAGATAAAAAATCTTATTTTTTGTATTTAGTGTTTTCCTTCGATAAACATCCAGAATACAGGAGATAAATAACCAAACATTAGGCAGGATATCAGACACCTGCACATCCACGCCTGCACAAACAGATCAGATTACAGGAGATAAATAACCAAACATTAGTCAGGATATCAGACACCTACACATCCACGCCTGCACAAACAGATAGGATTACAGGAGATAAATAACCAAACAATAGTCAGGATATCAGACACCTGCACATCCACGCCTGCACAAACAGATCAGATTACAGTCATAACCAGAAAGACCCGGAATTTATTGACAGGTAATCAGACGACTTTACATATATATCTCTGGTAATTTTAAGCGCACGATAAAGGCAGACCACATTTTGGAATTGGCTGGACTATGGTTATTTTGTTATCATCGTTTCATTAATCATATTCATATAATTAGATTGTAAAATCAGATGATTAATAATTCCGGTTCTTTCTGATTATGATTGTAGTTTTATCATAAATCTTCCATATAAATTATATCATACGATCACCCGCTGAGGAATAAAAAAAATCATTTTCTCTTTTTCTGTTTCATTAACAATTTTTACAGGGCCTCCCTAACATACAGACATAGTATAGACAATTTATTCCAGTTATCACTCATATATCAATATCATGCAGTAATCCCTTAATTATAGGAACTCATTCTTAATGCTTGCTTTACCATTAATGGGAAACCTTGCAGAGTACGTTTCCATCTTTATCTTTTAGCAGTAGGAAAACAAGAAAAGGAAAGTATAGAGGAAAAGGTAAAAATAAAATTTGAAGTTTTTAAACAGGATATTTTTCTGCCCTATAGCGCTTTTTTTCAAATTTAGGCAACGTTATAACTTTGATGTGTTATTAGCTCCGAACTCACTCTAAACCCTCGGTTCATTTTAATATTTACAATACCCATCACATACCATACACGGTGTTACGTCAAAAAGCGTCCGGGCGTGAGATAATGCCTAAGCTGTATTTATGTCATAAAAAACAAATTTCAAAATATTTAAATAGATTCTTTTATATATTACGACTAATTATTACATATGAATAGAAGCTAAATTATGCATGTTTTTAATTCTTTGAAAGGAAACGACATTGGAGACGGAATATAACTTTTTTACATCTTTTCTAGTATGTCTACATTGAAAAACTTATTTAAATATATGTTTACGTTCAGCAGATGTTTATCAATGCATCCATGTTGTATTGAAAGTTTCCAAATTATTAAGAAGTGCCACATTACCCGGGCATTATCGAACCCCCGGACTCTTTTTAACGTCACACTTGTATCCACTTCAATTGTACAGGGCCGGCAGTTGTATGGGGCAGATGAATATGTACCGTACCGAATTCTAATTGTACCGTTATCACATAAATTTATAATTTATAATTTATATGGCGTACCGTCCTGTTTTGCCTTATATACATACATAGTTTGTACTGTACAGCTTGCTTTAGCCCGGTACTTGAAATGAACAGGACTTTACAGTACTATTTGCCCAAATAGCCCGCGGTGATGTATGACCAAATGGGAGACTGAAAACTAGTCAAGTACCTGATATTTGTACCAGGGTTGCAGGTTGGGTTCTCCAGGTGGTTGGGAGTGTATGTAGGGCTCATAGTAGATTATCGTTATCAGATAAAATATAACCAGAGAGGTCATAAAGTTCCTGTGAATCCTCAACCGATCACACTGCAGAGATCTGACACAATTCAAATTATTAAACATTTTCTTAAACAAATAAAACTGAATAAATGTATGCATTGAATGAAAAGAAATGTAAAGATGGCTGCATTTAAGAAAACAAAACAAATTAAAGTGAATATAAACCTTAACCCGCTCCCAGAATATTCAATTTGCTCTCTTTACACAAGCAATAGCACATCATGTAAGGTCAAAAAATAAAAAGTGCTGGAGACGAATGAACAGATTTATTTATATATTGAATCATGTCTAGAACTTGTACAAAGGATAAAAAAATAAGATCGATGACTATATAATCTGCAATAACATGATTTCCTTGGATCGATCATAATTTACAAAATGACAAAATTTTGCGTAAATTAACGAATGGATTAGATTGGTTTAGCTGTGTTGACGTTTATTGGACACAAACAAAGAAAATTACTGGACAGTAAACAGACACACAAGCCGAATAAAAACATACTTTGGTAAATGCCATATTTTAGTAACAATCCTATATCCTTAAACTGATGATTTTGAAGCCACCATTTTTTTAGCGTACTCATAGAAACAAAATGTTCGCAGATTTGCAGATTTTCTTTTTAAATTGGCGGATTTCAAAAATTGGAAAAGTTTACATTTTTGCCCCCATACATACACCCAAACATAAACCTTCCATGGGTTCATGTAAGTAGCCACAACAAAGGAATTGAGTCTTTGCAACTAAGTGTGATTTTCTAATCCCTATATCTGTGTAACCCAATGTCGAAGACATTTGATATTTCAAGCTATGACCTCTGTCAGATCAAGAAATCTAAGTTTGAAATATCAAATGTTTATACCATCAGGTTGCCAACATATATAGGGATTAGAAAATTAGACTTTGTTGCAACAATTCCTTTGGGCCCACTTGGTTTATTTCGGTTTATTAGATAAAAACAAGAAAAGATTCAATCAGAATACATTAAAATTAAATTCTTTGTTTATTTTGTATTTCACACTAAACCGTAAAGAAACTGTAATTTCAAGTGAACCTATATTTAAAGAAGAGTATGCTCGATTCACAACCCTACATTTTAAACCTTTATCTAGTCAATAATGTGTATAAGATATTATTTAGTTTTATAAGTGTTGTATTATCAAAAATTTTCCGTTGTTTAAAGGGAGTGACCGGCAAAGTATGGTAGTTGAACTGAGAATGTAGTATTGTGGAGAGATTTTTTAGGATTCATTTGAGACATATTAAACGTTTTAATGATGTATAATTACTGAGTTTGAGCGCAAATAAGTTGTTCAGGAAAAAAAAATAAAAAATAAAAATTAACTCTTATCATTAAAAATAAGTAATTGTTTACAAACATTTTCTGCAGATTTTCGGGAATTTTTATTGAAAAAACGACATTTGAAAAATTTGTAGAAATCTGCGATCAAATTCGTAAAAAATAAGAAATTCAATATAATGATTAAAAAGAAAAAATTGATTCTAACATTGATTTATTGACAAATTTTTGATACATTTTTCAAAGTCTTTATTTAATATTAAAAAAAATCGATTCTCTAAACGTAACCACCCAATTGGATGGTTTTGAACGTCGACTTTGTGCTCAAACTCAGTAATTATACATCATTAAAACGTTTTATATGTCTCAAATGAATCCTAAAAAATTAGTCCACAAAACTACATTCTCAGATCAACTACCATACATTTCCAATCTTGTAGAACCTGAAGTACAAACTTGGTTTTGCAAATCCGTAACTTGCAATTACTATGTTTTCTGTATACTATCCAGCCCCGCGGGGTCTCGTAAAACAGATCCGAACCAACATATTTGATGTTCCTTATAACTATTTATGTTATAATCTAAAATTTTGTTTAAATGGACTGAAGTTGAAATTTCTAGAGTGGCATGTCTGATTCAAACCGGTTTATTTTTATTGTATTGTTTTAATTGTAGTTTCTCTAAAAAAAGTAACTAAATGATTTGTGCAGCAGAAACATTAAGTAAATTGTCAGAATTAAACAAAGAGAAAAGGCGAGTCACTTCAAATCACGTCTACAGTTTCTTTTCAGTGATTGAAATCAAAAATCCTTTAGACGTTGAAAAATGTGAAATGTATGTTGCCAGACTGCTAAGTTGACATTATTTTTCATTTACGAGTAAATCATGGTATTAAGCTTTTTATTTTCTACAGAAGACAACTAGGATTATGAGAGTTCTGTAGAAAGCTTAGTCTTAACAGTCAGTCAATAACAATACTATAGTACAGAACCACGTTTGTATTACAGTATTTTAAGAAAAGACTTAGCGAAGTTTTGCATGTTCCTCAGTCCAAAAATAGACGTATTTAGTGTATGTTAAGATTGATTTATGCGCTCCCTAAGTCGGAAAGAAATTGAGTATTTGCCACAAACTCATATTTTCGAATCTATATATTGATATTTCAAACTTGGACTAATTAACATTATAGTTTGAAATATCTAACTCTGGGTAGAAAAAATAAAGGGATTAGAAAATCGAATTTGTGACAATTACTCAACTCCTTTAAGAGAGTATCTCTTAACGAAACGCCCAAGTTATATCCTTTCTGTATTCATTTCTTTTTTAAAGAAAATTTGAAAATAAATAAAGAGGAAAAAAAGTAGCAATATGAAAAAAACTTTTCTGTATCTACAAAACTGCCTGACCCAAAAATCATGACATTGGGTTTCCGGGTTTCCTGGCGATTAATCTGTACTTAAGTCGCCAATATTATATAAATTTACAGTATTTTACCGTACAACACATGATTCTGGTCTTTTTATTTTTTTACTATGAAACCAAAGTAATATACCAAAAATCCCAGATTCTTTACAGAAAAAGTGTACTGCATTTTCTGGAAGGAATGCTTAGATCAATTTTGTTCATATTCCACCCAGTAACTGCAGTTGAAACGTAGGCGGGCGACAACGATCATAAGTTAGGTTAGCTGGTTGGTCAATTGGTTGGTTGATCGGTTGGTTAGTTGGTCGGTTGGTCGATTGGTTCTTTGATCAATAGGTTCGTTGGTCAGGCTCCTCAACTCAGACACTAAGTTGCAAATATTCTCTTTAACTGATATATTTCAAACCTGCAATAGAATGCAGGTGTAATAAAATTAAATGACAAATTAAATGCCAATATACTAATGTAGTTGAGGGCTTGGTGGGATAGTTTAAAACATTTGTAAATACTTCTAAAAAAATAAGCCCGATTGTTTAAGTGACATTTACTATGGATTACAAAGTTATTTATGCATTTGATCTTTCACTTAGTAAAACGTTTCACTGTTTGTTGTTTCTTTTGTCGGAGAGTACAGATAAATTTAAACTTAGACTTGCTTTGGTTTGGAGTTTTCTCTGAGAGGGGTTTTGGTTAAGACGACTTACAGGGGAGGGGGTTAGAAGTAGTATTTATGGTCAACAGCAGTATACTTGTTTTGTAAACAAAGATATTGGATTTTCTGGTATATTCTTGCCTAAGTCCATGTACCGTGCCCCTCTTCACTTTACCACCGTCATTATTTCTAATAATAAAATATATTTGAGTAAAGTTTTTCCAGTATGTTTTACTTTATACTTTATATTCCACTAGAAACACACACAGACACACAGACCACCAATTTATTTTATCGTCGGAAGAATTTATGTCTTTATTGCTTCACAGAAGTTCATAAGTAAAGGGACCGGGTGTTAGAAACACTAATAACATTTCTTTTTTTTCTTTTTTCTTCAATATATTTAATATTTTCATGCAATAAACACTGAAACGGCTGAACCTATCGAGCCCAACATTTTTCACGAACTATACTTGACTTAGGGTATATGAAATTTTAGAATGAAAAAAATTGAAAAAAGTTTCATATTTGAAAATTGTGGAATTCCTGCAGTGTTAGATATTTTCCCTAAGACATTTTCCCAAGGGCGACTTCCCAAGGTTTGGTTAGGCCTTCTTAGGCGTCGCAGGCTGCAATGGTGAGGGCCGAGCGCTGCGACTAGGATGGACTAGGGGGCTGATCACTGCGGATAGTAAAAGCTAGGAGGCCGAGCGCTGCGGCTAGGACAGACTTGGAAAGTTGCCGCTTCGGAAATTACTAATTTGGGAAATTACCCTTGGGAAGTTGCCGCTTGGGAAAAGGTATTTGGTAAAGTACCTAACATCACAACATAGATAACTGCGAAATCATAAAATGTATTATTTTAAAAGTGTACGAAGGAAGAATGTTTACGCTTAGGCAAAAGAAACAAGAAAATAGAAAAGAATGGAGAGAAGCGTCCTAATAGAAACAATATAATAGCAAAGAGACGAGAGAAGCGTTCTAATACAACAAGAGAATAGCAAAGAGGCTCAAGAAGTGTCAAAAAAAATTAAGAAAACAGAAAAGATGCACACAAGGTCCTAAAAGAAAATTTATGAAAAAAAGGCACACCCAGAATTCTATAATAAAACAGCAAAGAGGCAAGCCAAGCATCCTAAAATAATAAAGTAGGAAAGACGCATTCCAAGCGTCCTGAAGGAAAATAAAAATAGAAAAAACGCACAATAATAAGAAACCGACCTCCCATATCGACCTGAATTTTAGAAAAATGAGTTTATAAGTAAAGAGACGAATCATTTGGTTCACTTTTAAGGAAGGAAAAGGAAAAATGAGTGAGAAATTTTCCCTTGAAATATTTTCTAGATTTTCATTTACTATTAATTTTTTCTTCTGAAGAAGAAAATGCCAATTTAGATTAGGGGAAGAAAATCAGAGGAAAGGTGTGTATTCTGGGAAGAAATGGGGAGGGGCGTCAACACAGGAGGAGTAGAAGGGGCTGTGGAGAAGGATTGGGGAAGAGGGATGGGAAGAAGGGGTGGGGAGAAGGGGTGGGGAGAAGGGTTGGGANATATATAAACCTGTAGAATACTAAATACATAGAATGTAAATGAGAGATATAAACCTTAAGAATATTGAATATGCATAATGTAAATGAGAGATATAAACCTTTAGAATACTGAATATATAGAATGTAAATGTTACATTTGAATCTAAACCAAGGATTTCGAGAATTGATCTAAAAACAAAAAAAAAACATTTCTATTATTCTGATTCAAAATTTATGTTTGGAATAAAAAGATAGTGAACTAAGTATTTTGAGACATAAAAAAAATTATATTTTATGTTATAAAATTTACGAGATTTTTGTTCATACTGAAGATCAAATATATTCTTCCGATCGTGGTTTTCTGAAATTTTAAAATTTATGAGTCTCAATCTTTTTAGGTAACAAGACTTTGAAACTCTAGGACTGGGTCGATTTTGAAGTGTAACAATGCATTGGCCTGTGCATGCACATTTCAAAACCATATCTTATTTTTCTATCTACAGTTGAAAGAGAGTAATTGGCAAAATCATGATCTATTTTTTTGTATATCTTCTGGTTCGCAATGTTATGTAAATCGTCTGNAATGTAAATGAGAGATATAAACCTTTAGAATACTGAATATATAGAATGTAAATGTTACATTTGAATCTAAACCAAGGATTTCGAGAATTGATCTAAAAACAAAACAAAAAACATTTCTATTATTCTAATTCAAAATTTATGTTTGGAATAAAAAGATAGTGAGACATAAAAAAAATTATATTTTATGTTATAAAATTTACGAGATTTTTGTTCATACTGAAGATCAAATATATTCTTCCGATCGTGGTTTTGTGAGAGCGTGCATCTTCTGGTTAGCAATGTTATGTATAAAAAAAATTTATTGTATATTATATAAACCCATTTAACCAAAAGCACATTTGGTTCACGAAATTGAGTATTTACCTCAAATGCTTCTTTTGTGGTTTTATAAGCAATTTTCACTTCAAAAATATATAAATAATGTTTAATCTATAATACATAGTAAATTGAAGGTTAAAAAAAGGTTAAAGGGTAAAAATATTGATGTCAAATGTATGTTTCTAATGATATTTTAAATATATTTAATGATTTCTGAACTGAATTTACCATTCATAGATATCTCAAAACAACTACGTATGAAAGTTATGCATCAGATTTTGAGACCGCGTCGACTTCGAAGTATCGCAACTTCTTGCAGGGGTTTGTTTTAACCTCCACAACTCTCTTATACTTTTATGTAGCCTTGGACTGGTGCATTTCAAAACTGCAAGGTCGAGTTATTGGTAAAATCCGGTCAGATTGTCGCTTTAAAGCTTCTTCATTTTGGTTTGCAGTGCATAAAGCCAAAAATACTTCTTTTTATATCTTTAAAAAATTATGGCCGATAAAGTCCCATTTCAGGCTTACCGATTCTACTCTAGAGATTGCGTCCATACACTCCGAGTAGTTCGCTTTCTCAGCCCAGACCTAGATATAGTACATATACTGGTACATACTGGTAAATACGGTACAGGGTGTCCCACGAAACATGACAATAGCAAGACGACTTAAAAGTCGTCTTTGATTTTCAATATTACCAGAGATAAAAGATTTCAATTTTGTTAAATAAAAGCAAAATTGTCGAAATCTGAACGAAATTGTTCATATCTCGGGCAATATTGAAAGCACAAAAAATGCAGACCACATTTTGGAAATGGCAGGACCAGGGGAATTTTGTGATTATTACCTCTAGAAATTTACTTCTAAAATTAGGTTGACAAATAAATGCAGCAAATTATATAAAAAATCAAGACGATATTCAAGTCGTCTTGCATACTGTCATGTTTCGTGGGACACCCTGTACATAAACAGTAGTTAAGGGGGATGGGGGACTCCCCCAACTGGAAAATTATGAGCGCAAGAGAAAAGAGATCAGGCACCTTCTAGCCAAAAACATTTTCCCTGTGGCGCCAATTTTTAACTCAAAATAAAGATTAAAAAAAATGAAAATCCAAATCGCTACTAATCTTACTTCTGTTGCGTCTATTTTTCCGCTTGGTGTCTCTGCCACATGAGATTACCAATTGAGGAGCGCGCTTGCCGCAAAACAGATTTGGGTGGCGGGATTACTATTTGAGGAACTCTGGACTCCCTCCCTCGCCACATGTAATCATTCACAGCAACGAGAGCTGAGACATCTGGCGGCCAACTATTTCGGCGTTTTAAGTGCATGGAATATTAAACGAATATTAAATGTTAACTATATGCAAATGCGTTGAAAAATAATCTATGACTATAGGTTATAATATCTGAATGATTTGTTTGAAATTGATTTGATTTTTTTACAATTTGAGTTGTATATTGCAACTTTCTGAAGTTTGTAAGGACGCTACGTTCTTCAGTATAAGTCGTTTTTAACAAATTTTTAAATCTTTTCGTTTTTTTCCTGAACGACACCCTTTTTCATGAAAAATTTCGTTCGTTCGAAAAAACAATTCCCATCTCCAATTAAAACCGGTCAAAATATGAGGCTCTTTGTTGGTCGGACAAAAATTAATCTAAAAAGTGGAATATCGGTTTTTAATTTAGCTCAAAACAAATGAAGAATAAAAGTATTGAATTTCAATGGGTTTTCATGGTTCAGAACCTCAAGTATTGAATAAACCAAAAGAGGGTATATTCTTTTGTTTGTTTGATTTTTATAAATAAATAAAAAATGACGGAGATAACCTTGTTTTTTTTATTCTCTAAGTAGAGACAAGGAAGGTTATAAACAGAATTGATCTCTTTTTAAGGTAGAAAAACTGAGTTTTTACCGCAAACTTAAATCTTCTAGACTCCCTTTATCAAACTAAGAATTCTGTTCGATCAAAAAGATTTAAGATATAAAAGGTTTACACAATCAGATTGCAACGATAAAGGGATTAGAAAATTTGCGTTTTTGGCAAAAAGTTTCTTTTCTTTATACTCGGGTATTTAACTCTTTAAATGGACGATGACGTCGCTTACAGTCCCTTTAAGCAGTGCATAAACCGGATTTATGCGAGTAAACAAACAATTAATCTGTAATTATTGCATACTAACGGTAATTGCATCGTGGTAGGTAATTAGAAGAGATTTTATAATTGCACTAAGAAATATGTTTTATAATAAAGCTAAAAAGAAAATAAGGTTTTTATGTCAGAAAACTTTCTGCTTGCTTACTAAAATTTTCCTACCGGTTCATCCTCCCTGCATTGTCTGTACGCGAATCCGATTTCATTTTCTAAAAATAAAAAAGTTTTAAATCGAGGGTATGTTTGGTGCACTGAGCCGGAAATTTAAGAGAATAAAACTCCCGAGTTTCTTTTTTGGGGTTTATGCATTTGCATGTAGATTTCAATGTAAGATTGATGATACTAATCATATGAAAAGATATTTTGAACCAAAAACGAAAATTTCTTAACGCATTCATGAAACAGGGTTCCGATACCAGGATTCATGACGATATCCTGTCTTAAATTTCAGGCTCTGAGTCGAAAATTGTTGAACAAAACCCACATTCTTTTATCAGAAACCCGCATTCATTTATCAGAAACCCACATTCATTTATCAGAAACCCACATTCATTTATCAGAAACCCACATTCATTTATTAGGAACCCACCTATCTTTATCAGAAACCTGTATTCATTTATCAGAAACACATATTCCTTTATTAGGAACACAATGGAAACCCACCCTTCTATTTCAGAAATCAACTATCTTTATCAAAAACCCGTCTTCTTTGAGCAGAAAAAACACCTTCCTTTATCAGAAACCCACCTATCTTTATCAGGAACCAACTTTCATTTTTCAAAAAACCACCTTTCTGTAACAGAAACCCTTTTTCTTTATCAAACCCCACCTTCCATTATCAAAACCCGCCTTCCTTTTTCAAAATCCCACCTTCCTTTATCAAAATCCCACCTCCTTTATCAAAATCCCGCCTTCCTTTATCAAAATCCCACCTTCCTTTATCAAATCCCACCTTCCTTTATCAAATCCCGCCTTCCTTTATCAAAATCCCACCTTCCTTTATCGAAATCCCGCCTTCCTTTATCAAAATCCCACCTTCCTTTATCAAAGTCCTACCTTCCTTTATCAAAAACCCACCTTCCTTTATCAAAAACCCACCTTTCTTAATCAAAACCCACCTTCCTTTATCAAAAACCCGCCTTCCTTTATCAAAATCCCACCATTCTTTATCAAAAACATGCCTTCCTTTATCAAAAACCCACCTTCCTTTATCAGAAACTTTATTTTTTTTAATAATTGATGCTTTATGGATCGGATGGAGAAAATATATCTATTATCATATATTTGAAAATCAATAAATCATAATTATCTATCCATCTACATTTCTATCTAAATACTTAATTCTTGCATTGTTTGATTTTTGTTTATTTAATGCTTTTTTTGTTTGTTTTACCCCTAGGTACCCCTAGATACCCCCAGATACCCCTAGATACCCCTAGATACCAACAAATTAAAAAATAACATTTTTTGTTGCAACTGCACTGACATCAAAGTGCATCAAAACACACTTGTTGTTTAGAATTGTTTAGTTTCTGTAAAAAATAATTGAATATTTAATACACAAACAACGTGAAATAAATATTTTATGAACAAACTACAAGTTCATTGATATAGATATATATTATTTAGAGAACAGAAATAGAAAATAGAAAATTATCAGGATTTAATTACAAGATTAGACATTTGGGGAATTCGTGCAATATACTATTCTATTCAAATGAATTTGAGAAAGCTTTCAGTTATAAAGTTAAAGTTTTTAAACATTGTTTCCCTGTACTGCAGAGTTAAATGTTTCTATGTAAAAAGTCGATCTTTTTTAGCTCAAATGGTTTTTTTTTCATTATATGAACCATAGAAAGATATCGAATTTTATGATTGATATGATAAGTATTTTTTCTTTAAACCTGTAACGATAAAGAATGATAATAAAGGGATTGTTAAGGTATCAATAATTGATCTCCATCTTATGCAGTCAGGGTTTCCACGAAATGACTATATTTTTTTGTGCAAAATGTTGCGCCATTTTCGTGCACCATTTTTTTGCGAATTTTTGAGCATATTGCAAACCGGAAGTATTATGTAAAACGAAAAATTTTCCGCAAACATGATATTTTTTAGCAATTTGACTGGAAAGTTTTGGCATAGAATTAAATAACTTCAAGTTTTTTATCAAAAATTTACTTTTAAAAATATATGGTTATGCTGCTTTCAATATTGAATACTTCAAATTAAGGGACAAAAATTAATAATATAGAAATAAGAGACCAAGAAACTTTATTATAATTTTAAATCCTATTAAACTGACTGAAAGTGTAATTTAAAGTGGCCCTCCATGCATTAGATTGCAATTATCTCGATTCACAATAGTACCCTTAAACTCTTTGTCCGAAGTAGGAATTAGATATCCATGTTTTTAATTCTTTCTTCAAACTGGTTTTCATTTACGGGTTCTCTGCAAAACTAACTTGCATATAAGAAGCAATGGAGAAAAACGTTGTCTTTAACATTTTTGATCAGATTAAGGTTTTAATGCCATCTTTGGGTAGAGGGGTACTTGAAAATACGCTTACAGTCCCTTTGATCATTGATTATTATAAACAAAAATTCATGGTATTAAAGTAGGTAATTGAAAATTTAATTTTAAAAAAATTCTTAATTATAACATTTTTCCTGATTTCGGAAACCGGGTTGCGAAAAATGGGAATATCGCAATTTTGCGCGAAATTATATGTACGAATGATAGCGCAAATTGCTGTTTTTCGCGCAAAAGTGTTACGAAACTTAAGAAATATTTTCCGTTTCTTTTCGCAAAACTTGCGCAAAAGTTTTGCGAATGGAAACCCTATATGTAGTAGACCTGTGGATTTATTTAACTCTTCTCTACTATAACATATACCGTAGCTACCCTGCAGGAATAACTTTACTTGAGGGATCAAACATGCATCTTCAAATTTCCAATATTGGATTTAAAAAACAAGCGTTTAAGATTAACGAAACTCGACACAATAATTAAGAACATGGCACCGCTTAAAGATTGTCATAATGACTCCAGTTTCTATTTGTTGAGATTTAATGACTATTTTGCGTTTTATCTTTAAATAAGCATTTAATTATTTAATTATTTAATTATTTAATTATTTAATTATTTAATTATTTAATTATTTAATTATTTAATTGTTCTGAAAAATTTGTGATTTCAGATAAGACACCTTGTAATATAGGATATTCAAGATATTCCTGAAAATCAACGCGATAAAAAAAATCAGATTTTCTGGCAAAAACGCAATTCGGTTTTGTACAGCTTAGCTTTTTCTCTATTAATAGTTCCCTGTTCAGACAAATAGATGTAATTCAGATACCTTCTCTCAGATATATAAATAGAAACTGGAGCTTATGCGTAATAGAATTGGTTCCTCTAAGATGCTGTCTCATCAGAACACATCGGCTCATCGGTTCATTCAACTTTTTTCTAGCATTTTATACATCGAGTCATTCGTGTAACTTTTTCCTTCCATTAGAACTCCTGTAAACCTGGTTTTAACTCAGACAATTCCATTTAAACTTTCCAATCTTTAACCTAACCTAACGGTCGAACATTCCTGAAAATGTGATATAGTTTATGTTTTATTATCGTTTAAAGAACAGACTGAATTCTAAAGATTGTTAAAATATCATTTTCCAAATTTTGGTAGAAGCAAAATTATACTCGAGGATCTAAAAAAGACTATAATAATTGGACGATTATACTGAAAACTAGTAGGACGACTTTACTTGACCGGACGACTTTAGAATAGTAAGACGAAGTACGGAAACTTCTATTGTAAGATTATGTTTTAGAAATATAAAACAAACTTTTTCTTTGGTTTGAATATTCATTTATTTAAACTATTCTACAGGGTGTCCCACGTCATATTAATCGTTATTCGGCCAAAATTACGATTTTCGGGACTACTCAGATAATTTCAGAAGAATGAATCATTTTGAAACATAGGCTAATTTTAGAATTTTCTTGTGGAAAATGCTAGGTTTTTCGAGTATTATGGATTTATTTTGGCGTTAAAACTTGGAGATAATCTAATATGATATGAGACGCCCTGTATGTTCAAGTCTTCTCTGTTAAACTGGGGAAAATATTTGGAAGATAATTTATACCGACCCATTCTCTGCATAGAAATCTAGAAATTTAGACTGCTTTACGTCCCAATCTTCAGTACTAATCTTTAATTTTATTTTTATTTCAGTTTCCGTCATTTCCTTCCTAGTTCAGCATTTTAGTTAAAATTAAATTTTCAATTTTTAAAATAACGAAAAAAGGCATATTTTTCCAACACTAACAATTTGACTCCAATCAGTTTAAAGGGGATTAGAGAGATGCTGTGTTTCATGATCATTTATTTATAATCATGACTTGAATCTTAAAGTCGTCTTCCGTATTCCAAAGTTATTTACAATTTACAATCATCTGGTTAAAGATTGTTTTTTATTTTGAATTAGTTATAGAATATATCTGATATTAACTGATTATTAATATATGTATAAATTTAATTATAAGGTTTTTGTATGTATGCAGTGCACTGTAATTATTGTATGCATATTTTCATACTAGCCTCATAAATTATTTTAAAGATTCAATCTTTTAATAATCTTGTGTCAGGGCCCTATTATAGAGCTTTGCACATTGCACAAGAAAGTTTTCATGATCAAGATGTTTTCTTAATCAAATATTATTACTCATTTTGTAAATATATACTACAGGGTGTAACAAAACAAGGTACTGTGGCTCTTTCTATATTTCGATATTTATTAAATAGACATTTTCGAAATTCTAATATAGTTACCGATCAATGAATATCAATTTGAGGTCTGTAGCACGAAAAATGAAATAGTTTTGACAGTTTGAAGTTTGCCATTTTGACTTGATTGAATTTAGATATTGAGATAATATGAAAAGTCAAGGAAAAACTTTGTATTTATATTTATTTTATCAAACAACAGATAAAAAAGAAGAAAAATATGATTTTTTTTCATATTTTATTCGAAATATCTCTCATTGTTTACGATGCATTTCTCAGCTCTTATATCCAGTATCACTTTTTTCTACATGTCTCACATCAACTGCTACAATTTCTCTCTCTAATGTAACTTTTAGTTTTTATAATTCCCCAGGGTTTCCTGAATGGTCATTGGATTTTAGATCTTTTTCAAGAATTTTCTTCTTTTGACATCATAATGAAATCACATAACATGGACGGAGAACAAAATCGACAAATTTACTGACACTGGCTTTTAGGGCGCTTTGCGCTCATCTTCTTTTTCAACTTTCATTGTGGCTTTATCTGTGAGCGTCTTCTCTTTGTACAGTATAAAACAAAAACAAAAAATAGTTTGCGGATTTCATAATATTTTTTTGCGCATTTTTCAAAATTTTACAAAAATAAAAAACTTTTAAACACAAATTTTTAAAATTTCACGTGAGGTCCCACACAAAATTTGGGCCCGATCTGTTCAGCCGTTTTGACTTTTATTGGATACAAACAAGTAGACAAACAAACAGACAAACAACCCAAATTTATATATAGATAACCAATTCAAAGCGGCGAACTTTAATACAGACCTCTTATCGGTCTCCATCAATCAGAAATATTACGTAAATTAAAAAAACTAGGCTTTTAGGGCGCTTCGCGCCCATCTTCTATTTGAATTATGAACATGTTCTTTTTGTTACACATTTTAAAACAAAGAAGAAAAACATTTCGCGGATTTTTAAAAAAAATCGCGGATTTTCAAGAATTTAAATTTGTTAACAAAATTAAAAACCTTTAAAACACATTTTTTTTAATTTTTATCATTCGTAAACCTTCCCTGTGGTCACGTGATGTCCCACAAAAAAATTGGGCCCGATCGGTTCAGCCGTTTTGAGGTTTATTGGATACAAACAAACAGACAAACAGACAAACAGACACCCAGACAGACAAGCCAAATTTATATATAGAATTTTTTTACAAACCATGATGATAGTAGCAATACCTTACGGAGCGTTTTTTTGTGGGACACCCTGTATATAATGTATCTGGCTTTGCAACAGTTTATGGGACACCCTGTATATAATACATCTGGCTTTGCAACAGTTTACATTTGTGTAAAAGAAAGAAATATTATGCATCTAGGAAAATATAAAAATGTAAAAAGTAAAAATAAACTTGCTCTCCTAACTATGGACTAAAAGTATCTTTTTTCCAATGAAGATGTTAAGGGTACTTTCCCAAAAGGCATTTTTACAAATGATCAATTCCGATTGTGAAAAATATAATTAACCTTGGAAGTATAATTTGTTTCATTTGCACAAAGTTTTTGTATTTTTGGTGAAAAAAATCAAAAAACCACCTGCTTAAATATCCCCCCCCTTTATTTAAAATTCTAAATTTAACTTATTTATATTCATAGAAAAGAAAAATGTGATAATAAATCAAGATCGAACGCACAATCCTAGGAATTGTATGTAACTAATTTAAAATTTTAGTCTTGGAAGAACCAAATAACTGTTTAAAGGGACTGTAAGCATAATTTCAAGCTACCCTCCATACAAAGAGGGCAATGCCCGATTTACAACGGTACTCTTTAAACGTCGAGTACAGAGACCTCTGTGTGTAAATCTCATTTATACTTATTTGTAGCATTTTTTCATAGATTTTTAGCGTGAGATCTTGAAACCCCTTGTATCACTGTGTTTAAAAAGAAAGCTTCGTAGTATATAGTATATGCATATGTTATCCATAGCCATCCAAATTATCTATATTATAATAAAACAAGACATTCGCATATATATATATGTTGCCTATAGCCGGCCAAACGGCTAAACCGATTGGGCTGAAATTTTTTGTGGACATACATGGGTGGGCGGGGGGTGTTATAGGCTAAAAAAATTCAGCTAGTAACACATACATATACATATATAGTATTTACTTTGGCAGTTATGTCAAGTTACACAAGAAGCGCATTAACAGCGTACAACGTGTTTAAGTTCTTTTCAAGATATTTAAACAAAGAGCTCTCTCAACTCGAACAGTCAAAGGTTTGAAGGGTACCGTTGTAAATCGGACATTGCGCTCTGTGCATGGAGGGTCACTTCAAATTACGCTTACAGTCCCTTTAATTCAAATTTTTAAGAACAACGGTGGCAATTTGAGGAGTAATTTTGCTCATGCTTTTATTTTTAAAATATAATAAATCATTTTAACTTTTTCAACAGCTGTCAGAGTAAAATGAAAATTATCTTTATAAAACTTTAAGAAATGCTTAAATGATAAATTACTTTGTAATAACAAAAAGTTAAAGTTGCCACAAATTCTGAAGAAAAACTGGGAATATTTAAAGTTTATTGCGAGAAAGTTAGAAATTATAAAGTATAAATGTTATGTATACACATTTGACAAATTTATTTACAAAAATAGATTCTTATTTCAAGTTTCGATATTTTTAAAGTTTATTTTTATAAAATTTGTCATTTACACCCAGAGTCAAGCATCTACAAGAATTAAATTAAGTTGATGCACTCTTTTTTATCCATTTTTTCATTTTCTTTTCTCTTTCAAACTAGTTTTTATTATTTATGTTTTTCATTTTATTCTGTGTTATGATATAAAAACGCTTTATTTTGTTTAGGATTTAGATTTTTTAAGTGGAAGAATTTTTTGTGTTTTTTGATCCTCCTTTAATGCAAAATCTTTGGACATTTTTAATAATTTTATATATTTTTTTTTTTTCGTTTTTAATGATTCCAGAATCATTTATGAAAATGAAGTGTTTTAATTAACATACTTTTAGATTGGATTATCTAGCAAAATATTTTTATTAAATTAAACTGCTTGAGTTGAAAATACAATAATTTTGAAGTATATAATTCACCTTCAAAATTCCCAAATACATCACTGCGAACCTAGATGTGCACGCACTCTTGCAAATCTCGAGAAGTATTTTGCAAATTACTCCTTTTAAACTTAAACTAGAAACAGCGCAGACCGTTTTATACTGTTAGATGACTAATTAACATTCATTCCGACTGATAATAATAACAACTCGCCTTGCACACAATTCGCCTTACCAACTCTCTGCTTACTGACAACTCTGCTCACTAAAAACTCTGCTTAATAACAACTCTGCTTAATAACAACTCTGGTTAAGAATAACTCTGCTTAATAACAACTCTGCTAACTAACAACTCTGCTTAATAACAACTCTGCTTACTAAAAACTCTGCTTAATAACAACTCGTTTTATTTTTAAAAAATCAATGAGCAATTTCTTGTGTTTACTGTTGTGTTATAGGTTAAGCCAATTAATAAACTATTTCATTGACATTTTTTTATTTCACACATTGAAAATCTGGGAATGCGATGCTCCGGAAGTTGTTCCCCAACTAATTATTTCCGGTAGTTTTCTTGCAATTAATTGTAATTAATATGCCGCACATTCTCTCTCTCAGCTTCTCAATCTTGATGCAGCTTTTTCTCTTTAGGTTCAACAGCCCTTATAACAGAGCAGACATTCTTGAAGTGCAGAATGGAAATAAGATTGATTGTAAATTTTCCCCAACTTTTAGCATGAATAACAAAACTACAAAAAAATTAAATGATTTTTACCTTTAAAATGTTATCAAGGCAAGTTTAACTTCTAATGTAATCAATGTGAGAAAAAATACGTTTTTTGCCGTAGATTAACCAATTTTCAAAATTTCGTCCAGTGAAACCCTCAAGAACGAATACATCGGAAGAATTTATCAAATGTCGTCTTGACAATTTTTCAATGAGTTTTATACTATATTACGTAAATTTCAGTATTTGCAAAAATAAATAAATAGCCATGAATATGCGGGAACAGTTTTAAAGAGTTCCATTTAATCATTTAATTAAAAAACTAAATATCTGCAACATTCCATTATCAGAAAGTGAAGAATACGACATTTGATGAATTCTTTCGATGTATTCGTTTTTAAGGGTTTCACTGTACCAAAAACAAATGGACAGTATTTAGCAACTTCTCACGCATATTCTTAACATTCTTAATATTCTTAATATTCTTAATATTCTTAATATTCTTAATATTCTTAATATTCTTAATATTCTTAATATTCTTAATATTCTTAATATTCTTAAACCCATTTAACATGTTTTTATAAAATTCTTTCTTATGACATTTTTTATCTATTTCCACGCCAAGAGTCATTTAGCAATTTTGATTTTACAGAACGTTTTATTCGCTCAGGAATTTTGAGACTTTCCCAAAAACTCAATCCCTAATTCTTCGCAACCCAATGTTGAAGACCGATAACATTTCAAACAATATTAGATTTAGACATAACTTGGTAAGTAAAACTCTCGCCTCAGTCCAAAAATATCCCCCCCCCACCATCTCCACCAGATGATGCCAGAAAAAAACAAAAGAACTAACAATAAATTTGTTAATTGCTAATGTTACAAAGCAAAATAGCTGAGACTAAAACCAAGAGATGAGTTTAGAATAACGAATATCTAAGATATTAGTTCCAAATATATGAATACAATAAGAGTATTACAATTAAGTTACTCCGAAAAGGGGGAATTTTTCGTCCCGTGAAGAGAATTTTTTCAACAAATTTAATGCAACAACTCTACTCTACTCTACTCTACTTTACTCTACTCTACTCTACTCTACTCTACTCTACTCTACTCTACTCTACAGTACTCTACTCTACTCTACTCTACTCTACTCTACTCTACTCTACTCTACTCTACTCTACTCTACCTGAAGGAAAGATAAGTTTAATCTGCTTGAATGACTCTATGGATGTACAAGGAACCTTGGCTGTTAAACCAAACGCAGTCTCCGGCCAGCAAACCAATCCGTCGAAGAAGGACAAACATTCTGAAAATGTAAAATCTAAAAAAGGTTAAATTCCTATATACGCCTCTGCTTTGGACCAATTTTTGATGTTACAGGGTTGCCCACATAGGATAGACTTTAATTAAGAACTAAATCTCATATTGATCGGAAGACTTCATTAAATAGTTTTAAAAATTATTTGCTAAACGATCTAGCAAAGAAAACAACGATTCGCGTGATGAAAATCATCAATAGAGTAAAACTGTCCAGATTGCTATGAAAAGTTGCGTCAATTTTAAAGACAAGATTGACTTTAATGTGTTGCAACGCCTTAGCCTTTGATTTTTCCTCAGTAAACTCAAGTATGCGTTTAGTAGCCCAAGACATGAACATTTTAAAAATAAAAAGCACATGTTTAAGCTTCAGTTATTAAGAAGGAACGGGCAAGATTTTCGTATATTTTCGCGTGAGAGCTTGCAACTGGTTTTGTATTTTCTTACCCGTGTTAGTAAAGTTGGACAAATGGTTTCCTGATCTGTTAAAACAGGAGTTCATTCTTTTTCAGGTCGGAGAAGACTGATAGTTTAACCGAGCTCTGCTCGGACGGGTTGGAGTCCACAAATCTCTCCTTCTCCGGAGATCCAACTAGGGGGTATAAACTAATATATCTATGTACATTATATATACACTCTTACAATATTTTGCAGTATTCAATATGCATGATACATTATATATTCTGTACATACAAACACTCCCACTATGCACTGTAAATACACTCCCACTACACTATACAACTTAAATTATGTACCTACACTATTACTACACTATACAGTATATATTATACCTATACACTATTACTACACTATATCATATATATTGTACATACACTACACTACACTATACAGTAGAGTAAAGTGCATTCCCATAATAATACATTTCATGTGCGTAATTATAATAAAACTAAAGTTTTCTTGATTTAATGACCTACAGATCATAATTGGACAGCAAACGGTTATCATGTATGTAATTCTAAAACTTGTATAAAAGAATTTTCTTCATATTTGGTCTTCATATGACTAATAAGTTCGTTTAAACAAGAGGTAAGATTTCTAACCGAAATTGTGGTTAAAATATGTATGCGCTTCTAAATAGACAAAGAAAATGAAGTATGAAAATTGATGTATGTGCGGATATAAAATAAACATGTGCACTTATATGATAATATTTTAAAAAGGGCACATTTTATACGATACCATGTGTTAGCAGTTCTGGAAGCAGTCTTGTGGTTTCTGGTAGCAGTCTTGTGGTTTCTGGTAGCAGTCTTGAGCTTGTGGTTTCTGGTAGAAGTCTTGAGCTTGAGGTTTCTGGTAGCAGTCTTGTGGTTCTGGTAGCAGTCTTGAGCTTGTGGTTTCTGGTAGAAGTTTTGAGCTTGAGGTTTCTGGTAGCAGTCTTGAGCTTGTGGTTTCTGGTAGAAGTCTTGAGCTTGAGGTTTCTGGTAGAAGTCTTGAGCTTGTTGTTTCTGGTAGAAGTCTTGAGCTTGAGGTTTCTGGTAGAAGTCTTGAGCTTGAGGTTTCTGGTAGTAGTCTTGTGGTTTCTGGTAGAAGTCTTGAGCTTGAGGTTTCTGGTAGCAGTCTTGTGGTTTCTGGTGGCAGTCTTGGTGGCAGTCCTGGTGACAATCCTGGTGACAATCCTAGAAGCAGTCCTGGTGGCAGTCCTGGGGGCAGTCCTGGTGGCAGTCCTGGTGGCAGTCCTGATGACAATCCTGGAAGCAGTCCTGGTGCAGTCCTGGTGCAGTCCTGGTGGCAGTCCTAGTGGCAGTCTTGGTGGCAGTCCTGGTGAAAATCCTGGTAGCATTTCTGGTGGCAGTCCTGGTGACAATCCTGGAAGCAGTCTTGGTGGCAGTCCTGGTAACAATCTTGGTGGCAGTCCCCTGGTTATTATTCCATCACACTCCTCTGCCGCTTTAGAAATTGTAAATTGGCGGAAGGAATGCAAAGGTTGGGCGACCCAACTCGGATATTCAAATGTGCCATGCTCAATATAAGATCTTACAAAATAATTATAGATAAGTATGTGAATATTAAGTGACAATATAGTTTTTACTTCATTTAAGGCACAAATTGACCCAGAAATTTTGTAAGAGATACTTATAATTTGATGATCCTAGCGTAGGTGTTCATCAAGTAATTAGGGAGATATATTTTCTTAAAACGTTCAGAGAAAACCCTTCTTTATTTTATTTCTATATTTTAATGAGTTTTTGATAACATTGAGGCCTCCAATGTTGAATTATGTTGTACAAAAATTCTTAATATAATGGAATATTTCCCTGTCCAATTTAGAGATACTCTTGTCTCGCATGTGTCATCTAAAGATATATCACAAAGAGTATGCAAAAATGATATATGATATGTATGTGTGTGTGTGTACATTAATCTTTTAAAAACTTTTTGATTAATTAAAAAATTACATTACATTTTACATTTTATTTAATATTAATTAGCCGAAGAGGAAAAAAATTTTATTTTGGAGAAAAAAATTGTTAATTATAGTATAAAACCATAGATTTTTTCTGGATGGTTCCATGGGGAAAATGATAGGCAGAGGTATGCAGAATATTTTGCTATTAATTTTATATCGCGAAGGTTGGCCATTACGGAGACAGAAGAGTTTTAAGTTTTACCTAGATAAAGTTTGACATCATTCTCATGTTTCTAAAGTTTCGAACATGATTTAATCATTGCAATTAATACTTTAGTCTATCCATTTTTTATGCCCTAACATGGCCAGATTTGTTAAAAATAGTTTTATCTACAAGAACTAGAAACTTTTTAACACATAATGATCGAAGGACGAGGATTTTGGACGAGAAAATGAGGAGAATGTGGCTCGGACGAGAAGCTGTTGTGGCTGGCCTTCCTACCCTCGTTGAATAGTCTCCGTAGTTGATGACAGGTTGTCTAAACCTATTATAAACCTATTCTATTATACAGAGCGTCCCATATCATATTAGATTATCTCTAATCTTTAACGACAAAATAAACCCTTAATACTCGAAGAACTTGTCATTTTCTGCAAGAAAATTCTTATATAAGCCTTATGTTATTTTTCAAATTGATTTATTCTAATTAAATTTTCTTATTAGTCCCGAAAATCGCAATTTAGACCCGTTGACGGTCTAATATGATGTGGGACACCCTGTATGTAAGTTTGTAGTGAAGTATAAAGCGAATGTAATGTCGTATTTATGGTCGTCTTATAAATTAGCTTTTATGCCAAATGTTTTTTATTTGATTTTTAAAAATTTTGAAAATCCACGACATTTTTTAGAAAATCCGCGAAATTTTTTGTTTTTGTTTTGTTTTACAATGTACAGAAAGAGAACTTATTTACAATTGAAATAGAGGATGGGCGCGAAACGCCCCAATAGCCTAGTAATGTTAGAAATCATAAGAAAATAAACATTAAAAAAGGTTGATTTAAAGAATGTTTTATGAGAATTTTGAAGATTCAAAACAAGCTGCATTGAATGTATAAATATAAAGTTTATAGGTAGGGGTCTTTTTAACTTTTGCATAAATTGGAGATTGGAGAGGGTAGGGGCCTCCTAAAACCCTTGGGGTAGGGCGGGGGGTTCAAGGAGGTATATTTAAGCCTGTAAAAGAATGAGATATAAACATCATTATTTTAAATACACTTAATTACAGCTTACAGTTAAATAAAAAATATTTGTTTCTGTTTATTCCTTTGATTTCAGTCTATAGATTTTCGTACTTCACGTGAAGGAATTGAGTTTTTGTCGCAAACTCTGATTTTCTAATTCCTATATATTTGCAACCCAATGTCATATCCCTTGAATATTTCAAAAAAAAAAATTCTGTTAGAACAATTAATCTAAGTTAGAAATATCATTGATTTACACCATCAGGTTGCAAAGAAACAGGGATTAGAAAGTTTGATTTTGTGACAAAGACTCAATTCCTTTCTCCCAAGGTCAAAAACCTTCTCTAGTTCACAAACTTTTAGATGGTGAAACGTAAGCCCAAGAAGGGTAAAATATTCTCCTAGTTATAGGTCTGTATATGAAGGTTTCTAATGTAGCAAATATTAACCACAAGTTAACTATTTCAGTGTGACAATGTTTCAATCCATGCAAGATTGACATGTTTTTAATATTATAAAATATTTTCTGTTTACAAAACAGATTTCTACAGAACAAATCCCGTAGGAACAAACTAGGCTACAAAAACTGTAAAATTGTTATACACATCGTTTAGGAATTGAGTTTTTGATGTAAAAAAACATAATTAGAAATATTTAAAGTCTACGACATTGGGCGGCAAAGATATAGGGATTAGAAAATCAGAGTTTGTGGCAATGACTCAATTTCTTTGGAATGAAAAATAGCTTTGAATAGAATAAAGAAGTAAATTTGTGTTTTTGCCTAAAATTAAAACTTTCCTTATAATATCGACAGTTTTACCATTTATGATACCATTTTTTAGAAAAATTTTCGGAGTCTACATAATTATATCAGCTGCTACCTCATCACTGCATACTAGACAGACGGGAAGGTCAAATTTATGCGATATTACTTGTAAGACTTTCTGACCTCGTAGCTCCTCCAGTATTGATTTTACGCACAAGTTTTAGAAAGCAAATCTATCCATGGTTGCATATTTAAACATTCAAACATTTTTATTCTTCTTGATAGATCTCTATTCGATAAAAGGATTTCTGATTTAAAAATATTTCAATTCTGCGTGTAGTTTACTTTAGTTAAACGTGATCCGTAAATACGTGCAATTTACTTTAGTTCAACGTGATCCGTAAATACGTGCAATTTACTTTAGTTCAACGTGATCCGTAAATACGTGCAATTTACTTTAGTTCAACGTGATCCGTAAAATCTATAAGTTTGTAAATGAAAGTTGAAGTCAAGTCTGTGTGTCTAGTTAAGCTCTTTGCCAACCCAACCTACTGCGCACCAATATCTTCTCTAGACTAATCGTAAATATTTTTATGTTATTCTATTCAAGTAAATAGAACAATAAAGGTTACTTTTATTTTTCCGATAAAATCGAGAAATGGCGAAATATAAAATACTATGCATTTAGGGCGCTTTAAGCCCATCTTCTATTTCAATTGTTAACATTTTCTCTTTCTATATTGTAAAACAAAACCAAAAAGCTGGGAGGCCAAGAGAGGTAGAACTGTTTATTTTGCAGCGAAATGCTCACATACAGTATACATATTCTATAAGAAGATTAAAGAGAGCAAAAAGTCAAATACTTCAAGATAAATTTACTCAAAAATTGCTCAATAGAGGGGATGATATATTCAAAGAAATTAAGAAATTCCGTGGAAATAGCACACCAATTTCAAATTGTATAGATGGTATAGGATCCAACAGAGAAATGTCCTCAAGTCTCAATTTGCTGCTTGTGAGAAGATTAGATGGTAGGTAGAGGATCTATTTCAATTGTTAACATTTTCTCTTTCTATATTGTAAAACAAAACCAAAAAGCTGGGAGGCCAAGAGAGGGAGAACTGTTTA